AGAGAGCTTGATTTGGAGGACAGTACATAACCAAGCATATTGTTATAAATGACAGGGAAATTTAATATTTCTGAAATAGAATAGGATATTAAAAGGTATATTAGAGGCCTGAGCTGTGGTGCTAATTTTCTCTAGGGTTAGTTCTAACTCTTCTTGTTAAAAGGACTGTAAGTGTAGTAAACTGTAAGCTATTTTTTATCTGTTATTAGATAGATATTTTGTATCTTGCTGGAGAGATTTATTTTATTTTTTCTGTAATGACCTGTAATGAGCCATACCTTTAGGATGGCTGTTGCCTAACATATGTTTAATTGTTCTTAATCAGTCTGGTGAAACAACAGTTGATAATCTGAAAGAAATATCTGCATACTCTTTATTCTCTACTCTCACTTTGACACTTTCTGTTAGGAGGGAGCTGTGGTAAAGTGTGTGTTTGCCGAAGGAGTACGGCCATGATAAACATGCTCAGAGCTGCATGATCATGTAATGGCACATGAATGCTAGTCAAAATCATCTTTCATCACAAATATATGAGACCGTTGCAAAATAAAATTTCTAAGTAATTTTTGCATGAAAACTTTTAAAATCTGTAATTAATTGGAAATGCAAGCACTTATTACCTCATCAATACAGTCACTGTGAAGCTGAGGCACTTACAGGTTTTTTTTAATTAGATATCTCTATTACTCTAGGTATGTACTTATTATGGTGGCTTATAGCCAAAGAAAATACTGCTGGCATTTGTAGAGGAATAGAAAACACATGACATCTCCCTGGAACAGTACTTCATTAGTGTGCATATCTTACATGCTGAGGACACAGCTAGTGTGATATATGGTGTACCTGCTGGGCTCTGAGAGGTGTGCTTAACAGCTCTGAGGTATGTCCTGGGTCTGCAGAGACAGATTAGCTGTATGTGACCAGCAAACAGTGGAAATCCAGCTTCATTTTCTCTTCAGTGCAGAGGAAACAGATCAGAACCTGTAAAGGCTGCCCAGGTAAGTGCTGTCTCCCTCCAACACAATGGGCATGATGGCACAGGGGAGAGCCTACTTTCAGGAAAGGGAAGGTCTCCCAGAGGTGAAGCCGTGGTTTCTTCACTTCATCATGACTGAAGGGACAGTGTTAAGTTTAAGAAAGGAGGATAGGACTGTGGTTAAACCACTAGGCAAGGGCTCCAGGTTTAGCACTTGGTTTGATCAGAGATTTCCTGTAGGTCACTCTCAGCATTCTTGTCTTTAAACCAGACTGATGATACTTCTCACTTGAATCTAGTTTTCAAGGGTTATGAATACTGAGGGGTTGTGACTGGTTGTGTAAATACTTTGGCAGTGCTGACACATACAATATAAGATGATATTTTAAATCCCAAGTGGCACTGTTTACCTAAACGTCTATTTTTACCTACTTGTAAGAACATGAAATATTTTTTTTCTGCAAAAATGGGACTACTTTAAGTGTTCACAGATATCACCAGTCATTTCCTTGACTCTAATCTACTATGTTTGAGGTCAAATCATAGACTTGCAGTGGCTACAGCAACTCCTTACGTTCAAAAGGAATATTAAAAAGTGTATTTTTACTTTTAACTGTGTTAACAGAAAGGAATAAGAGCAGGAACAGGCACTAACTATGTAGTTATCAGGTGCCCTCCCCTTCCCCAGTGCGTATCCTGAGGACACCTCGGTTTCTTTATCACCTTTGGGAATATAAGACCTGGTGCCTGGGATCAGCATGAAAATAAATCACTTTTGATAATATGCAGTTCCTGGTTGCAGACATTTATCAGTTACCTGACGTGGAAATGGTAAACTTCTTAACTGCAGCAGTTGTCTGGATGATTTGTTATATTCAGGTCAGACCGACTGTAGATATTTTTCCTATTCCATCAGCCATATTTAGTTATGAAGTTGGATTTTCCATTTGTTGGTTAACATTTCTGTGTCTGAAAAACTGCTGGCCTGAAATCACAGCTTTACCAATATTATCTGTGTCTGTGCTATAGGGGTTTGTTAATCTCGCTGTAACACTCGCTTTGCGTAAAATCTTATCAGGCTATTATTGCCTGGTCAAATGACTCGAATACCACAGATGAAGGGGTGTGTTATGACTAACGGTGTCATGTTTGGCCTTGCTGAAGAAAGTTTGTTTTGGCCTAAGTTTTAGGAGATGTCTAGCTAGTACATTGCGTATACATTTCCATCATTGCTTCACTGAGAGACATAAGGGAGAATGATGGTTATTTGCATTATTTTCTTGTCTGCTAGAACAAATACATCTATACTGCAGCTTGGAGTGGTTTCCAGTCACTTGTCATATCTGTTGCAACCACTTCTAGTTGTTGAATTCATGATGGCTTCTGAAGTCATTAGGTTACCATATGTCTAATGACCATTAAAATAATAGTCAAAAGACATGTACATGTCTGTGAAAGAGAAAACCTACACACAAGCCTTGATTCTGCCTTTTGTGTAGTACCTTAAAATGCTTGTGGCCTGGTAGCTTTGTCTGCAGGGTCAGCTTTAGGCTTAAACTGTAGCATAGCTATGATTTATGTGGTATAGGTGTGTCAGGCACTTACTGCTGTGAGAATGTTTCTACGTAGAGGCGAGTGGTTGTTTTGGCTTTGTTCTTTTAGGGAGAAATATGAGTGTATGACAGTTTGTAATCTCATCAGTCTTACTTATGCATTTCAGAGTCTTTCTTATGTCTTTGTAATATATGTATAAATATAAAATAAAAATATAACAATATAAAATATAAATATATAAAAATACATATGTACCTCTAATGAATTTGCTTAGCCTTCTAAGTTTTAAAATTTATAGATAAACTACCCTGTGAATTTCATGTTTTGTTTTTTAAGCTAGATAAATTCAAAATTTGTTACTTCAGAAGTTCCCAGAAGAATTTTTGAGGGGATCTCAAGTGGATTCAATGCCCAGACAAACTTGCTAATGCACTGCATGACTAGGAGGCTTTTTTCTGTGAAACTAGTTGTTTTCCAACATTTGATGCTTGCAAATGACAGAAGTTGAAGCAACTCAAACAAACTTTCCCTTAGCCATAAATAATACACATGGAATGTGATATGCTCAAAATTATTCATAAAGACATTAAAAGGAGAATTGGTGTAATATATTCCCTCTATGAACTGAGCTGTTGAGGCAGCCAACTCTGCAAACCACGACTTTGCTAGTAAGTCAGAACTCACTACTGTGACCTCTGAAACCAATCTAGCTGGCCAGGGGCTCGGGACACTGTTTATCACACTGAACAAATAGATTTGGGGACTACCACTCAAATATTTGTGTTAACTTTTAACTGACATAGGCAATGAATAAACTCTTACCTTGGACCTTTCCGTAAAATTCAAGGGGAATGGGGGCCGAATGTGAGAGGAGAGGCTGTGTTATACCAAACATGTGCTATAAACTGCCAGTGTAATTCAGTTGGGTACTAACTTGTGTGGTGCCCAGGGAACTTTGAACTTCCAGGAAGACTTTGCATCAAGTGAAGTGGGTGAAAATTGCAACTTTTTTGTTTGTTTTCTTCTATTTTAGACTGAAAACCCAATGTAATTTTATTCCAAAGCCCTTCCACTGACCTCAGGGCTGAGGTGTGGAGAGGTCAAACAATTTCCCCTGGTCAAACAGGATGCATATGGCATAGCCATGAATAGATTCCAAAGTACTGGTCCCATGACATAACAGCCATTCTTAGTGTGACAAAAGCTATTCTATTTTAGGCAGATCCAATAATTTGTCCAAGTTGTCATTATGGCTTAACTACATAGGGGCAGAGAAAAACTCTAGGTACTTTAAGTGAAAAATGATGAATATGTCAACTGAGATCCAAGTCTGTAATTTGTTGCTGAAATTCAGAGAAAGTCATTTTGTGCAACACGCAGTGAAGTCTCCTTCCAGCAGTTCTGTGGCTTTGTATTTTAGAAATTTTTCCTAATGATTTGTGTTTCTTGCTAATTCTGCTTTCTGTCCCAGGATCTAGAAGCACCAAGTGCTAGCCTGTGGTATTCCTATGAAGTCGTTTAGTAATTAACTTCTGTTTTACAGAAGGGGACAGGAAATGAAACCTCCTGGTCAACTGTTTTCATAATTAGGCAACTGAATCAAGGAGTCTCAGTTTTCAAAGCAGCTTATGACCTCAGCAAACAGGAACAGACTCGTCAAACCACTCCTGAGCGTACACTTTACACAGGGTGTTTAGTATTTAAAATAAAATTTAAAAAAAGGACAGGATGAAGTCTAAACTTAGTTGTATTAATCCATAGGGAATAGAACACTGTTCTATAACCTGTGGCTGCTCCCAAGTCTTATTGGCAGACCTCTAACCACACTTTCCTGTTTATTAAAAATATTTTCCATGCACTGGCTCCCCAGACCAGCAGGGACTGAGCCAGTGAACTGCACCAAACCTCTCTTACCCTTTCTAACACTTGCCTCAAAGCCAAGCAGAAACTGCTGTCTAAAAATATTGTGTTCTCTATTGAGCCTCAGTTTGCAGACAGGTTCATGAGAATTTTTTCCAGGTTGGAAATTAGGCCATTTGTCAAAGATCATACAGCAAATCAGCATCAGAATGAGAAATACAATTAGATTTCTTCACTTTCAAGACCCAGACTTGAACTGCAAGACAGCTCTGACTCTGAAAATGTCATTAATTTCAGAGTCATGTATTTGAGATAGTGTGTTTTAAGATCACAAACAAACATCCTTGCTGAATGACGATTAACAGAAAAGAAGTCTGGGTCCTTACTGGTGTAAACCAGAATAGCTCCCTGACAGTCACCTACTGCTTATCTTTTTAAGAACAGGGCTTACCACTCTGAGTTCTGTTACAGAAGCACTTCATACATGTCAGTGCCAGAGGTAAAAGTTCCTGGACTTTGCAAATGTAATTGGCAGTCTTTGCTGAACCCCAGCCACAGAGTTTAGTTTTGGCATCCCTGCACTGGGAGCAGTGGTAAACAATGTTCCTCCTGCTTTCTTACTCTCACTGCAAAAGTCATTGCTTAGGAAGACTAGAAATTAGAAAAAATATAAGCTTGGAAAAATAATTGCATCCTGAAGGTGTGCTCTTTCAGTGGAGTTTTAAACTACTGGAGGCTTGGTAAATATTTGGCATTTATTTATGCATGTTTTCTTTCTCCTGCTATACATCATCTTTGAAATACTAAACATAAAATTAACACTGTTGCGCCACAGACAAACATTTGTCATTGTTGTTATGGTTTTTTTAGCAACATTAGGAAAAAGGAAGTCTGTGAGGGAATGTTTGAAGTCGAGTATTATTATGTTGTGCTAACTCTTAAAAGCAAAATTTATTAGTGACTGAAATAGAGAATGTTACTGAGCAAGAGTTTAAAAAGTTGGCATTTTTTATTATTGTTCAATTGCATAAACGCAATTTGCAGATTTTGCAGATTTGAAGGTATAGTTCTTTATATAGGCAAAGCCAGTTAAAAATCCAATTATTAACCTGACTGTCCTCTGAAACTGTCCAAATATAATGTTGTTCCAGATGTTAGCAGTGCTGTTCCATGTTTATACTATTCTCTCAGCAGCTGTTAAACTGTTTGAAAAAATTACTCAGATGGGTGGTAGTGGTATTTAATGCAGAATCCACCCTCAAAAGGGTGGATTACATAATGTAGGGGTAATTACATAAACATAGCCCAAAAAGTATCATTTTATCAGGAGAGCAAACCAAAGAACATTCCTTCAGCCTGATGTAAATTAGAAAGGGTAAATGCTATCATAGCCTCTTGACAGAATAGGCTGTATTGACTCTTACTACATATTTTTTTAATCAAGAGATATAAAATTACACAACCCTTTTTTTTTTCTCTTCCTTGTCCATCCATCTACAAATGAGAAATCTAATCCTGCTAATGCGTGTGCACATGCGTAGCTTCACTTGTGTGAGTAATCCTTTCAAAGTGGGAGAACTACTTTTTTGGAGGAAAGGTATGTACGTGAATGCAAGCGTGAAGATGTGATACAGCAGGCAGTGTGCTCAGGAGACCCCTCTCCTGTTGTCCTTAGCGCGCTGTAATGAATGGAATTACAGGAATGCAGGGCTGAGTTCCAAAGGCGCGGGCTGAATTTCGGTTTCGGAACGGAGATAGCAGTCAGAAGTGCAGCGGTAAGATCATTCATAGTACAGCTGATGGACTGGTTGCATCCTGCTCTCAGGGACAGGTTCTCAGTGCAGCTGAGTCCAGTCGGACAATATAGCTTTAAATGACAACAGAATTCGGCAGAATAATTGTTTTGACCATTGCAGATACTTTTGTCAGACTGTGGCCACCTGTGGTGTGCTGCAGCTTTGTCACTTAAATTCTGGTGTTTTTTTTTTTTTTTTTCTTTTTTTTCCCTAACCTCTGTTTGCTGTCTTTTTTCTCCTTAATATACTTTTGTTTCCAGAGGTTTTTTTTTGGTTTATATTCTACTTTCCCCTCCCCCGCTGCCTGCTCTCCCTCCCACAGAAGAAAATTCCTATGTGAAAAATCATATTGTACTTGTAAGTTCCAGATGCTTTTGCAAGAGAAGAATACAGAGAAAATTCTGAAATTTCTGTTTTAAAATAAAAAGAAAAAAGGACACACACACATTTTCATCCATAGCTTTTACAGTGTCCATTGTATTCATGGGAAGCTTTATTTTCTTTCATCTATACGTGTTTCTCAGCTCACTGGTGGAAGAATACTCTAGTTGTATGTATTAGCCCTGAAATATGTTCTGTATGTTTCTTTCTCTACATCTTCTACTGCATTAAGGAAATCTAATACGTTGAATGTGCCTGAAAATCATGATGAATAAACCCGTGCACTTTTAGTTGCTGGAGAAATCACTGTCATTTTGTTAATTATAATTTGAGGCGGGGTGGTGGGTGTAATAAAAAATGCCTTCCTGGCGTTTTAAGTGAACTTTTTTGCCTACATAGATATCTGATCCTACTCTGATTTTAGACAGATATAATCCATAAAACTTGCTTCATGTTAGAACAGAACAGTAAAGTATGAAACCTGACCAGAAAAGAATAGCAGAATCATTCTTTTGCAATCATTCAGTAAAATTTTGCAGCTGGTCGCCTAGAAATTTACCAGTGATACTGTGCTCAGTGCTGTCTGTCAAGAAGTCAATATAAGGAAAACAGTTCCTGAAGATTTCAAGTGTTGTTTTGATTTGAGCACTCCTTAAAATGCCTGTGACCAGAATTCTTCACGAGTTTTGTGCTAGCAACTGACAGATAAAAAGTGATAGGTATGTAAGTCAATGTTTTGGGGTTTTTTTGATGAGCAAGAACTTAAAAGAATTGCAGTTTACTATTTACAGCACAGTAAAACATTTCTCCTTTGACCATTTCATTTCTTTTCTTCCCCAGAAAGCAACTCTGCAGCATGACATTTGAAGATTTTGAGAACTATTCTTATTTCTACGACCTGTCTGAGGAAGATGAGTCACCCCAGTCTTCCCTCAGCATTGCCCATATTATTTCCCTTTTCTTTTACAGTGTGGCATTTCTGCTGGGAGTGCCAGGTAATGCCATTGTCATCTGGTTTATGGGCTTTAAATGGGATAAATCTGTTTCTACCCTCTGGTTCCTCAATCTGGCCATTGCAGATTTCATTTTTGTTCTCTTCCTGCCCCTCTATATTACATACGTGGCAATGGGCTTCCACTGGCCTTTTGGGAAGTGGCTCTGCAAAATGAACTCATTCATTGCACTACTTAATATGTTTGCCAGTGTTTTCTTCCTGACGTTCATCAGCCTTGACCGCTACATCCGCCTTGTCCACCCAGTCTTTTCCTACAAGTATCGGACTGTGAGGAACACCCTTGTTCTCAGTGGGGTCATTTGGATGTCAGCTGCAATTATTGGTGGCCCTGCTTTATACTTTAAAGACACAGCTACAATTCTCAACAATGTCACCATTTGCTACAACAACTTCCACGTGCACGACAGAGAACTTATTTTGCTGACACATCACATTCTCATTTGGGTGAGGCTTGTGTTTGGTTACCTCTTCCCTTTAGTGACCATGGTCATTTGCTACTCATTGCTGATTGTCAAAGTGAAGAGGAGAACTGTATTGACTTCCAGCAGGCTTTTTTGGACCATCATTGCTGTAGTTGTGGCTTTTTTTGTTTGCTGGACACCGTATCACATATTCAGCATCGTGGAGCTGTCTGCTCACCATGACGAAAACTTGCATGACTTACTGCAGGATAGCATTCCCCTCTCCACTGGCCTTGGTTTCATCAACAGTTGCCTCAATCCAATCCTCTATGTTCTGATAAGCAAAAAGTTCCAGGCCCAGGTCAAGACAACAGTCTCTGAGGTGCTGAAACTGGCTCTGTGGGAAGTGAGCCGCTCGGGAACTGTCAGCGAGCAGCTGTGGAGCTCAGACAACAGCCACGCGCCTGTGCATTATTGTGAAACTGCCCAGTGACTGTTCTCGTCACCATCCCTCTCCAGAAGAGCTGACAGGAGATTTGGAGGTGTTCTTGACTTTACATCTGACAGTCAGATGTGCATCTTTGCATATACAGTTTTCTATAAACAGCTGGCTTAACTGCACTTGCTGCTTTAATGGAAAGGTTTTTAACGGACACATCATTTGGGTGTGGTGTCCTTGCAATGCACATACAGCCTGATCTGAAAGTTGTCAGCATAAGTGGAATTACTCCAACTGGGTTTTTTTAATCCCATTGTTTTGCTATGGTTCCATACCTCACTGATATCAAAAGAGCACATAATAAAAATATTCCTCCTTGCCATCACTGATACCTCTCGTTTGAGGCATTCTCATCCAAGAGGTTGTGGCCATACATCAGGGGGCCATGAGTCCTAATTGTCTAGTGCTGCCTCAAGTAGGAATCACCTAGCTACATCCCAGCTAGGTGAAGCTATCCCAGCTAAGAGAAGTGGCTCCACTCTGCAGCTGGAGAAGAATCCGAAGGCAGAGAACACTGAATTGCTGCCTTCTCTTGGCAAAAAAGAAAAATAGGGAAATAAAATCTGTCTTCTCCCAATGCTCTTTATCTTATACCCAAAATTAAGACAGGAGACCCTGTGATTTCTGATCCCTTAATTCTTGTGCTTTTAGCATTAGCTGGGTGCGAAATACTGAGCAGATGTTTCGTATAGATATTAGGTTAATTTGAAATGTGCAAAGAATTAGTGGGAATATTTCTTGCAGAAGCTGAGATTAAAGGTCCTGTGCCATACTTCTTCTTTTATGTTTTAGTTTTTAGGCTTATAGAGGTTTACAACTTTTAGGTTTACAGAGGTTGTTCTTTACTGCTCTGTCAAGCAAAGGTAAAGAAATTATATAACATTTTGTTTGCCTTAATGTCAAGCTTCAAAAAATGGGTGGAGTGAACTCAACAGTATTCTGTTACAAGTCTGTAGACAAATTTGTACTTCATTGCCGAATGAGAGGCAAGACAGTTCATCCAGGAAATGGAGTCCACTCCCATAAGAAAGATGAAGTAGTCCCAGTTATGCTGTATTCTGTTCCAACTTGTTGCTTGCTTCAGAATCACATGCACCAATGCAAATATATATACGTACAGATATGCTATGTGGAGTGAACCAATATCTCATGCAACACCACTTGATTAAAAAGTTGAATGTGGGAGGAAACTCCACTAAAAGAAAAAACATAGAGGCTTGGGTAAATTTGAACTGGTTTTAACTTGCTATTGGCTTAGGTATATAGAATAAAATTGCCTTTCAGATAATCTACCTAGTTTCTACGGCCTGCCAGCACACATTAGTAGCATTTATACTGTAATTGAGGCCTTATATGTAAATAGATTTGCATTTGTATGAAATATATATATGTATGCATGACCACACCCAGTACTGGTAGCTGTATGAATAGAAACAGTCTGAATGTGTTCTTTAACTATTTCTTTGGGCTCTGGTTTCAGAGCCTGGGAGAGTCAGGCAGGATCAGTGGAATTTCAGTGTATTTCACTTTGGGCTGGAAAGCTGGTAAGCAGCACTCCTTTGAGTCATTTACTGCCTGGTACATAGTTACTCATCATAATATTTTGGCACTGTGCTGCTGAATATGCCTAAATGAAACATCTTGGAGTTTTTCTTCACATGTTCCCTGACATCTTTCTAGGAATGATGTACTTCCTGACTGCAGTCCAAGTGAAGCAATAAAATTTTGTTGTTTCCAAAGAGTGTGTTCATTTGCTTTTCTTAGCAGCACTATGCAGTAACTGTCCTTTCTTATAACAGCTCCTTCCCAAGGATTTTGGAAGATGAAGCAAGCCCTGACCCTTCCTACTACAGGAATTAAGGTTTCTTATTGCGTGTCAGCTATGTGTGCATGTATATTCCTGTATACAGTACAGAGGATGATTTTCAAGAGGGAGAATGTATATATGCTGTCTTGCATAGATGATCAGAAAGCATACCCTGAAGCAGATGAGAGAGAATAGAACTGAAGAAGGCCAAAATCAGCCTTGATCTATGGAATTAAGTGGATTAACAATTTTGCAATGTAACTACCATTCACACCAAGATCAGTTGCAGAATTATCTCCAGATCATTTCTTCAAGAGGAATGGAAGATACCCAAACAAAACAGATAACATTTTAAGTTTCTGTTTTCAAAGTGTCTCCAAAAAAAGACCAACAATTCTCTGCCTCTTGGACTGAAGGATGCAGTTCAACCCACCACAACAGAAAAGAGAAGCCAGAAAAGGGGATCTATCTGATCATGGTGAGAGATACTATAGAAAGAGCTATTGACACATTTTATAATAGACAGGTTCTGGTTAGTTTTATCTCCTTCCTGGACATTTTGTGCTTCAGAAGGTTTTTATGTGGGTTAGTTTTTGTTCAAACTGTTTTCCCAGTATTACCATGTATCACATATTTAAGGTTTGGAAATTTCTACTCATCTTTCTGTTACAGGGTGCACTTGGGATACTTGCCTTTTCTAAGATGCTGATTTTTCATGGGCACAATGGCACAGTAATACACCAAAACACATACATACATACATACCCAAACACTACACAACCCCCCACATGTAGATACACGTGGATTGTGTGGAATTCTCTTGTCCACATGCCAATCTATTTTCTCACTGGGGAGACTGCGCTCTCTAGGTTCTTTTTTTATTTTGATCCTGTGCAGCAACTTTCCTTCTAACATCAGGGGAAAAAAATCAACAAACTCAAGACACAAAAGAAATCCCAACAACTGAAGAGTTTGTGCCTGTTTAGCAAAAATGTAGCACACACACAAATCCAGTCTAGCTGGTCACATGGATGGCTCATGGTGCTGTATTTTAGCAGTGTTATTGTCTACAAATTAAACCATTATGTCCAGTTAGAGCTTTAATTAAGGCCAAGGAAGTTTAAAGGTAAGCAGCACAGTGAAGGGAAAGTTAGAAACAGTGATGGCCAAGGATAATAAAAATTGTATTTTTGTGGCAGAATTTTTGTTTTTCTGATGAGGCATTTGCTAATTTCTTGCTTTTAATATCAGCCATGACAGACTTGCTAAAACTAAGCTACATGATTTCGCAGAAGCAACAGCTAGAGAATTGCCATGGAAGTGGTGTGGATTAGTTACACACAGGATGAAGGTAGCCTTTTAAGACTTTATGGAAGGTGGTGAGAGAACCTGTAATTATACTTATTTCAAATCTTTAACCATGCTTTAAATCTCTAGTAGGCAGTTGTTTTTTTCTGAGACAGATTATAAACAAAGCTCTTACATTATCTGAAGCTGGTAGACTTTTAAACAAGGAGAAACAGGACCTGCTGTGCCAGATAACCGCACAAATGCTCTCTGAAGAACAAAAGGAGTTATCTAAGCTGCTGCTGTCAGGCATTGGCACTGAGCAGCTTTATCTCACAGACTAACATGGCCCTGAAAAGGCGTCCGTTTTGTGGTCACAATAAATCCTGTCAGTCCAACAGAAGGCACAGAACTTGAGTTTGTCTAGAAGTTTCACAACTGCAACAGCTTTTACATTTGTATCATTCCCATGGAAATTTTTTTGAAAACAATTTATTTCTGATCGTTCTTCAATCATTAAAAAAAAGTATCAATCTAGAAACCGATCTACACCCAAGTAAGCAGCTCAAACTGGAGTTAATTTTGCTACTTTATATATGTTATATATTTGCATTTTATTTCAACTGATTTTTTTTTTCAGTTGTTGTTTTTAGCCAGGAGCACGCGTCAAGTTTCTTATATAAGTAAAGCGGACATTGCATTGGCTGCAACCCGCGGGCAGCGTTCCAGCCGACACTGAGGCTGCCCGGCTGGGTCAGACACAGCTGCCACCAAGCTCGCAGCGCCTCCCAGAGGCACAGTTTATGATCAACAGTAGTTGCTGTACCAAGAACCCCTGGGAAAGAGTAAAACTTGACATAATTTCATTGCAATTGTTTTCAAGCCTGAGGAAAAAAAGTTTCAAGTCACACAACACATGAGAAGGTACCAGGGTAGTATCAAGTCCAATTTCTAGCGCACTGCAGTTGATTCATTTACCTTCATCTCACTCTCACCAAAGCACTGTTTCAGCCTTCAGCAAAAGCCATGGGATGTTTGGTTAGTCACCACACTTATTAAACAAAAGGATCTTACACTACTGTTTATCCACTAAAAAGTTATTTGCACTTTGACTGAGCTCTGTTTTTTTCCTTTAAAGTCATCCCTCCTTCCAGAGGAATCAGACATTTCCAAAGATGCAATTTCCTCTGCAAGTGGAGCAAAGAATACTCAGGCATTTTAAAGCCATGTTAATGTTAACTCTGAATTGATGGTAAATGTAATTTTTCTATTTTCTCTGCTCATGCTCTTGGGTACTACAGTGGTGTGCCTGAGCAACCTTGAAATTCAGTTTCAGCTTCTACTTTACCCATAAACAAAGTCTTACATTTGTGAGTTGGATTACTCTGTAATTTTGAATTAAGCACAGGCACAGCCTATTTTTTTGCAACAACATTTATTCTAGATACATCAAGACTTAAATCTTATTGAAAGCAGCTACATCCATTGATTGTACATAATCTTCAAAAGCCGTTATTCTCTCTTCCAGCATATCTGTTCCAACTTTATCATCTTCAACAACACACTGGATCTGAAGCTTTTTGATACCATAGCCAACAGGTACTAGCTTGGCTGTAAAATAAAAAAAGGCATTTAGTACTCCTCAATTGGTGGAATCTCTAAAAACACAGATCTAAGACTGAACTGACCAAAGTAGTTTGCAGGAATACATAAAAACATCATTTGTTCCACATTATGGACTATCTAATTAACAACCCAGGACTCACTACAAGTGATTGAAAAGGGTTTCTCTCTGTTGACCCCTACCTCCTCTCCAAACCAGTGATGTAGGTGTATGGGTGTTTGTTTGCTGCAATAGGAATTGTACAGGGCCATGCAGGATAACAGTCTTAGCTTTATAGTTTCTAAAATCTGTATTTGATTCTTAACTGGACTGCTACACTAATCACCTTTTCTGACTATGTCAAGATACTGAAGTACTGTGGTGTTGCAGTTCCCACCCTGTTCTAGCTACATTTTCAAATTTCAGCAGTGACCACAAGTCTAACTACTCATACAATGTATCCTAAGGGACCACACTCTCTCCCTGCTCGAGAATCTTCTCATACTTACAAGATCCCCAGACCAGGCCATCTGCTTGAATGCTTCGAACACACTCCTCTAGTTTGGCCATGTCTGTCTCATCATCCCAAGGTTTCACATCAAGCAAGATTGATGATTTGGCAACAACAGCTGGTTCTGGGGGAAGAAAATCACCTTTAAGAAGTTTCCAAACACTCATGAATATACTTGCAAACTAGTTTTATTATGTGAGCAGCTTTTCCAATTCCATGAACAAGAACCTCCTCACATTGCTGCGACAGGCCTGTGGTACCAATATACACTTGGGAAGTACTGCAGCTATGTATGTGCCAGTGTTCAGTGTGTACATCCATTGTGTTCTTGAAAAACAGACTGAACACAGATTAGGCAGCTGACAATGTTTGTTACATAGGAAGTCCTTTTCAGAGGATCTGAGAAGGAGCTTAATGCTGTGTAACAGTTTATTTTCCACAGAGGGAATACTGGAACTGCTACAGTTCTGAACAGTTCCAGACCAGTAGCTGTGGAAGGACTTGCATATTGCAGCCTTTTCTCTAAACTTTGAAAGAAAATCCTTATCTCTGTTTATACAGAAAGCTCAGCCTTTGGGAAGAACAAGCAGGAGTGTATTAAGCAGGACAAAAAGTGTGTTAAGGTTCCCATTTACTATGGGAAGGCTGAGCATACAGGCAATTCAAGTGAAGCCAATTACTCCTGTCTCATTCCAGTCAAGCTGATCTATTATTACAGTTAATTAGTGCTTCCAGCCATCCTGTTCAAATGCATGAAAATTAATCCAAGCATAAAAGAATAAGAAGTTCTTGGCATACATACTTTTGGACTTCTTTGACTCATACTGTGCCAGACGTTCTTCCCTCAGTTTTTTTGCTTCTTCACTTTCCTGAAAGAGAAATCTACAGTTACAGCAAAGCACCAAAACCCCACATCCCCCAAAGCATCACCAAACTGACTGGCATCTACTCAGACAAAAACAAAACATCACAACTGTCAGCCGAAAGATGGTGATTTTTTGTTTTATTCATCATGTAACCAGTCAAAGTTGGACAGTTCACCCCACTGCAACACAGAATTTTCTAACTCGAGTGTTTACCCTCCAAGCTTTCCTGTTCTGCAAAGACAGCTGAATTTGAGTATTTCAAGTAGGACCTCTTATCAAGGTCACAAATTTAAGTAACTTAAACTAGCTAAGGCAAAAATCTGCATACTGGGGTAATTTCAAAAAATCCCCAAACATAATATAGAAAGATCACAAGTACCTCCTCATCATCAGATCCAAAAAGGTCAATGTCATCATCATCTTTGCTATCTGTGGCTGCACCTGTTGTGTCCTCGACATCAGCAGGACCGTATTTCCCCAAAGCCTTCTTTACTCCTGGCAAGCTGAAAGAAAAATGCAGCTATAAAGAACCTACTTAAATGTTGATACAAATACCACTGTGGTTTGTCAATGCACCTAAAAGTGCATTTGTAACGAAAACACTGAGCTAAAAAAAAATAAAAATCGAATCCTGCTACTTGAAATCAGAACCTCCCCAAAAGACAATCCCCAATGCTCCTGACGTTTGCTGAATAATCTGTGATTATGGGATTTGTTGTAGTCTCATCAAAACTGGCACAATCCCACCCAACATTGCTGCTGCAACTAAGCACATGAAAAGCTTTCTTACAGGAATAATCTATCTGCAATATATTCCATCTAGGAGGAGGTACCAACTTCTTGTTCCTTCTTCCCTAAAAGTATTCTCAATTAAAAACTACTAAGTGACTAAAACACATTGTTGCAAAGTAACTGCTACTTGTGGAAGTTTCAGTGAACACTTTACCCTGAACACTAGCCTTAAACAGCAAAGGAGGGACCACAATGTCCTGAATTCACTTTCCCCTGGGGCTCACATAGTTTTGTAGTCTTATTCTAAGTTCATAGTCTTACTGCTACTATGAACTGCTGCTACTGCTGCCATAAAACTAGCTTAGAATAAGCTCATAGTTCTATTGCTGTGAACTGCTGTTACTAGTCATAAAACTAGCCTGTTTCCAGGAACTGTAAGTAGTTTCGAGAGTGAATTTTGTGAAGCAACTTCAGAATCTCAGTCCCATTCAGACTTATAAAAGTTTCAGAAATAGGCCGGTGACTGAGCAACCCAACTTTGAAAGAGTTTCCCATAAACACGACTGCGTGTCGTTTATGTCGTTTGAGAACGCAGTGTAGCAACGCTAACCCTACCCATGCTGTACCTTTTTAGAGGCCTACAATCTCCGTGGATGTCAATACACCACCTTTCGTGAACATTTAAAGTCACTAAAAGAGATAACATTTGCTTTTGTATCACCTCTTCTTTCTATTTATTTCTCTAGCGCAAATCACGGATTTTGTTTTATCTTTCAGGACTAAAACCTCAACATTGATGTGCTGTGTATTCATCTGTAATGATTCCTATAATACTTATTAATCCATTTTGGTGTTGCCTTCATGGAGCTGATTACCGGTAAATAATTCCCGGCTTTCAGCGCAGTTATTATCCGTGTAAATGGCAGCAACAAAACTCAAGCCTTTTTATAAGCTTTAGCAGAAATGTCAGCAACTGAACGGAGACGTAATTTAGGCGAGCCGATTCTAAGTGAGAAATGCAATGTAGTGACAGAACAGGTCTGCCCTACTTCGGGACCTGCTCGTGTGCCAACGGCGACACGAAACGCCACGTGGTACCGCTGCCAAAGAGTTTCGTACAAACTCGAAGAAAAAAACCGCAGCACTTTGTAGGCCAGTTCGCTGAGATACTGCACCTTCGCAGTTTAAACATACCTTGCCTTCTGCTTTTCGTATGATTTAATGTGATTGTACCAGCGGAGAGCATGGAACAAGTCCGCAGGCGGAGGAGCAGCGATCGCCTCGAAGACTGCGATGTCAGCCTGCGAAGGGACGTACCTGCGGAGAGCGAGCCCGCGTTAAGGCCCTCGGCCGGGACACGCGGGAACACACGGAGCAGCAGCTGCCGCGGCACCTCAGGACCGCCCCCGCCGCTCCCCGTCAGGCCCGGCTCACCTTCCCCGCGCCCCAGCGGCCCCCTCCCGCCATCTCTCACCCCTCAATGTAGCTCTTGTCAGCCAGGAAGTCGTTGAGGACGCGGAGGCCCGCGGCGGACTTCAGGTCTCCGAAGCCCATGGCGGCGCGCGGCACAGAGCAGCGCCCGCCCCGAGCGACACCGCCGCGGGAAAGGACCGCGCCGCGCCTGCGCCCCGCTTATATAGAGCTGGATCCCTCCGCGGGCTCAGCGCACACGGATCCCTCCGCGGAAACCAACCGCGAGGTAGTTCCTCACGGGTTGGCCGCTCCAGGGTAGGGCGTGCAGCGAGCGGGACACCAGAGGTGCGGGGAAAGGTCGGTGTAATACATGTGAACCTGACTATATACCCCAGGAAGGTGTGCGGTGTTACAAGGGTTTTGTCAGCCCGAACTGCCGCCACGCCCCGCCCCGCTGGCACAGCGGAAGTTGCCGAATTGGGCGCAGAAAGAGGCGGAAGGAGACGGGAACGGCCGAGGGCGGGACGGAGTGTGAGTGACGATGGCTGAGAAGGCACTGGGGAGGTGGCGGAAATTGCCGAGTTTCCTCGGTCGCCGGTGACCTGCCGGAAATCTCCGAAGCCGTTCTTTCCGGAGATTGCCGAACGCCCTCCGTCCGCTCCGGAGGTTGCCGAAGGGCGCTCCGGAGGTTGCCGAAGGCGGCGGCGGGCAGCGGCGGAGAGGCCCGAGGGCGCCGCCATAGAGGCCGAGCGGAGCGCAGCCGGTCCCGCGGCGCCGCCGCCCGTCCCGCGCCAGGTAACGGCGGCGCCGCCGCGGGGTCCGCGGGACGGGGCGCTCTCCCGGCCGCTCCTCCCGCCGCTGCTCCCGCTGTCCTTGGCGGGACGGGCGGCGGAGGAGACGCCTCCAAGGTGACCCCCGCGCCGGGCAGCGGTGCCGCCGGCCGGGCCCCGGAGACGGTGACAGCGACACCGGGCCCGCCCCGCGGGGCAGCGGGGCCGGGGCAGGCCCTCCGCTGCGGGCGGGGAGGCCGCGCGGTGCCATTCGCGGGTATCGTGTATAGATTGTTTTGATTCTCGTATCTCAGGTTTAAAGGAAGTGACTCGATTTCCTCTAACTGTACCTGGTGCATACGTACCTTTTTGCACCTGGCAGATGGAAGTGTTTACTCTTCCTGTTTAAAACCCGTCAGCAAAAGTTTGAACTGATAAAAACAGTGCTTTTTTTCTCTCTTAACCAAAGCACCATGCTTCGACTGCTTGCTGTCCCCAGGACCTTAGCTGGGGTCACCCAGTCGTCCAGAGTATGTGGTAAGTGTGGTTCATACGTGTGTCTGTGGTGATAAACGTGTGTGTGCATGAATGTGCGTGCAGATCGCTTACTGAAGGGCGTGTATGCATTCTTCATTTGCAGCTAAGGAATTGTACTGGTTCTAGAAATGGGATCCTCTCAGCACTGTTCGAGTGTAAGATAAGGGAGTGTGGGGTCTGATCGTTTGTGTTGAGCAGTAACTGAAAGTTTGGTTGTGGCGTTTTTTTCTATGTCCTTCAGGGCGTACAACTGCAACAGCAGCCAGCAACCAAATAGAGGTGTTTGTGGATGGCCATCCTGTATTGGTGAACCCTGGAACCACAGTACTTCAGGTGGGGAATGGCATTCTGAATTTTCTTGGACTCTCCATCTCACTTTTTGCCAGCCTGTTCTGTTCTATACAGCAAAAAAACTACCCACCTTTACATTGTTTCTTGCAATTCCTTAGGGGCACTTCCACTGACTGTGATGCACTTTCACATTACAGAAATCCACTGGGGAACTCATTGTTTCAAAAAGAAAAATCTGCCATGGTTGTCTGGAAGAAGATGCATGCAGCATCAATCCCAGCTGCAAATATTTATGCAATGCAATAAGATAGTTTGATAAATTCTGGTTGAAATCCTGTCTCTGAACACTGCGTGACTTCGTAGTCTTCCAGAACCTGTTAATCTTATATCTTGTTACAGTGATGTCTCTGGTAAAAATTTAGTTATTAGTTCTTATGATTCAGAGTGCTGATCCTTAGCTGCTTTTATTATTCTTGGTGTAGGAAGAAACGAAACCTGGACCTCCCAGCCTGTACTTAGCATTGTTCCTTTTCAGGCTAAAATTTCAAGTAGAACTTTTTGCAGTCAAACTTCTTTTTAAGAAGCTGTTAAATGGGGATGGGATATAATGGGTTGGAACACTAGAGTAGATAGTTTATTTCAAGATATATCCCTCACTCTTTGAGTAAAAGTTACTATTTAGGCAGTTATTAATAATAACTTATTAATAACAACTTATAAATAAAGTTATTATTTACTCCCCAGCAGGAGTGTGAATTTTTCTTAAATGCTATTTTTTTATTAGCTTTTCAGTTTTGATAATGGGATGATTTTTTCTTTTTTTGGTAGAAATTGTCAGAAAAAATAGATTTGTTTAGTTCTTTTTTATTGAGTTTGGTGGTATTTTTGGCAGGCATAGCTAGTGCTGTAGCACAGATCCCATCATCTGTGGGGGTTTTATGCAGGAAAGGTTGTCTTTATCTGTTCTCTGGAAATCTGCTGTCTCTGTCCTCCTGTCTCTTCTTCAGTCCTGGTATGCAAGAATGTTTCTTTGAGTTGGGGGTCTGCTGAAAATTGAAGATTGACTATGCTCAAGTATCCTCATACAGAGTATCCGTGTTGTTGAATTACCTGAAGTGATTATGCCCCTTGTTGTTCCCTTTATATCTTCCAATTTTTACTGTGATGCACTTTTCTTTAAAGACTGTATATGTTCTTTAAAAAGTTAATAGTATTGCTAGTGTCCTATCTGTTATAGAGAATTCTGTCTTTCATTGGTGGAAAGAATGAAAGAGGTCAGTTCTCGTTTCCTCAATCAGTTACAAAGGTTAAAAAATAAATATTTGTAATTGATATCCTGACATTGTTCTGCTTCATCACATTTTTTTATTTATGGTCACTTCTTAAGCTAAAAGGTCAAATGCCCTGTACTCTTGACCAGTAACAGTGTTACTCTTTGAAAAGCTGCATAATGTTTTCTGAGGTGGAATTGAGACGTATAGCTAAGATTTAATTTCCCTTTGTTTCTTATTTTTTATAGGCCTGTGAAAAGGCTGGAGTTCAGATACCTCGTTTTTGTTACCATGATCGTCTCTCTGTCGCTGGAAACTGTAGGATGTGTCTTGTGGAAATAGAGAAAGCTCCAAAGGTAATGTTTGTGTTTTGTAGGAATTGCAATTTTTTGCTGTGGTTAGGGCCTAGTTTAAATCTTGTAAATGTTTGTATTATCATTAGCACATGAATTGTTGTCATTCAGCTGCTCTCATCTCCCCAGAAAAGTCAGTTCTTAGGTTATTATGGATTATCTTGGTCCTGGAGGAGATACTTTTTCCAGGAGCATTTGATAGCTGTGTATTTGCAGTCAGACATATTTTTATGCTTTGTAATTCAGGCTTCAGCTACACATTTTCAGCTGATAGTATGTGAGTAGTAAACTTCAGATACTGTATGAATTCAGCTCTAGGATTAGTGTCTGCAGGTTTGTTCTACCTAAGTAGAGATTGCAGTTGTTTAGTAGTTTATATTTTAATGCATTGATATCTCTTCTGCAATACTGGTTGATTTCAGGACTGAACACTGTCTTCAGTGCTATTAAGAAATCTATGCACTTAGCTGACGCATTTGTTTGGAGTTCAGTCTTGGATTACACATTTATATTCACACATAAAATTTTTTTTCTCACCCCAACTTCAGTTCCATAGTTTGAGCTTTGTGTCTCTGGAAAGGTTCGGTTATCACTAAAGATGGAAGTCATGAGTTGATTGAAAAGTAGGAGGGATTAATTTACTCAGCAGGAATTTTTGTTAATCTTGCAGTAAGCTTGTGAAGAATTTTATTCCAAGACTCTTTATAAAGGTTTTGTGCAAATAAATGTCTTGTACATGATCTACACTCTGATACATTGAGTTCTAGAGGTTTTCCAGATATCTGCTGAAGCTCTTTGATTTGCCTTATATCTATTACAACTGACATTCTTACTGCTGTAACTACTTGAATTGAAAACCAAAAGTGTAAAATTTACAACTCTTAAATAAATCATAACTAATTTAACCTTTTTATATAGAAGATTATTAATATATATGGCTTCTAGTGACTTTCCTTGCAGACCTTTTTATTTGTACAACATGTTAAATTAATAACATATCTATGTAAGAAGTGGGGGGGGGGGAGGACGATGGGGTTGTGCCTATGATGAGAAGAAATATGTTGAGTTCATGCTTACTTTTTATGGTGATTGCAGCCAGTTGCTGCTTGTGCCATGCCAGTTATGAAGGGTTGGAACATACTGACAAACTCTGAGAAGTCCAGGAAAGCAAGGTACCTTTCTTTTAGCCTTCTTTAGCTGATTAGTTGTACTATCTGCTAAATAAAGTTGAGATTAACTTCACTTTCTGAACCTAACAGAGAGGGTGTAATGGAGTTCCTGCTGGCAAATCACCCACTGGACTGTCCTATCTGTGATCAGGGTGGAGAATGTGACCTACAGGTATTAAATTAAATTGTGTAGACTTACATATTAACACTCTTGTCTTAGGTGAAATTGTGCTTTCCAGCAGCCTGGATTTGTCTGTTTTCTGTTGTCTGTTCTAGGATCAATCGATGATGTTTGGCAGTGATAGGAGTAGATTTAGAGAGGGAAAACGTGCTGTGGAAGACAAGAACATTGGCCCATTAGTCAAAACAATCATGACTCGGTGTATACAGTGCACTCGATGCATCAGGTAACGTCCTTTGCTTTTCACTGGAGAGTTTACTGAGCATATTTGTATCAGTTTGTTACTTGTGAAAGAAACACCATGAGGGGTAGTCAGTTATTTTTAAATTTCTTTTTGGACTGTACTTAAAAAATTTTATTTCTGGTAGTGACTGATAGCTGGTTTCCTGGATCTGTCAGGTAGCTGTTATAAAGGAAACAGAGATGACCAAAACATGAAAGTGAAGTCAGAATTCTAGAGGGCAGAACTGGTCCCATGGTGTTAATGCCAGAATGGATACATGCCTTCCTGAGCCACAGTTATAAGATTTATTTATTCTTGATAGCCTCTGGTAGCTATATTTATGCTGCTCTGCAGTCCTGAAATGCAGTGCCAGCCAACTTGAGCCCGATGGAAAAGAATACCATGTACCCAACTAGTTCTAGAAAGAACTTTTTAGTTAGGAATAATGTTGGACTCAGTTTGTGAAATTCAGTGAGTACTGAACTGGTCTGTTTTTTGATACAACTTGCCCTAGTTTTTTGCAGCCTTGTCTGATGAAATTCTGCAGATGTATGGTCCTGCATGTGATGGTGCTGACTAATGCGTCTAAACAATTGTTTTCTTCTTTCAGGTGTATGAA